CTCGTTTTGGCGATTTTATCTGTTTTTGTGACACCCGCTCACACCTGAATTTGGTTATTCTTCGCCAATTTTGACGACTGACTCGCTGAACCCGTATTCCTGACGGAGTCCTCCGCCTACACAGCAGGTTTCAATTTCATCCAGTGATCCGGTCTACCAATCGCTTCTGCAACCGGAACCGAGATCAGTTTGCTGTCTTAGTGATGCCAGAGAGATCAGTCAAGATGCCAAGACTGTGTATTGAACGCGTTCACCTCAATGGTAGAGTCGTCTGGACTTACTTTCCGGCCCTATGGCTCGGAGCTCCGACTGCGAAAGAGCTCTTTACGATTCATCGCAACAAATAAAGCTCTTGCCTCGAAAGCATGAGTTTTGCTAGCTTCGGAAGTCAACTGAAGGAAGGTTGCGGCAACATCTCATCAACTCTCTCTAACGACATCCCAATTAGCAATAAACAATACTCTGAATTCTTGCACACACGTGGTAGATTTCGTACTGGGCAGAGTTCATGCACGACCAGTAGACGTGCCGCAAAGTATGCATCGAAGAAGGCGGGATCATTCGCTAGTCTGGCCGCCAACCTCCATTCCAAACAGAGTTTGCCGAGTCTCGAGTTCACCGGCGGGGTGATCGGCTGACATGGGTCAACCCAGAATCTTGCGGAAAGCTAGCCAAAAGATGCCCATTCTGGTCAGCAGTGAGCAGCGAGAACGAGGCCGAAAGCAACCAAATAAGCCCACCTTCGATTGTTAAGCCCGCCTGCCTCAGCATCCCGTCGGGGCTCTATCTTCTCCATCTTCCGCGCTGCCGCTCGCCCCGCGGCATGTGGAGGGCAGTCTATTAAACTTCCCCCTCAAACGTGATTCGGCCGGCCACGGACTTCTCCTGCAGTAGCGTGGTGTGAAGGCCCTCGCAAACAGTGTTATATCCATCTCCATCAAATTGTTTTAGCCATGTTGGAGATTCATCAAGAAGCTTAAGCCTTCGGGACGCTCATTCCACAGCATATCTGACGAAAGGTTGACCTGGTGAACTACTGCAGGCCACCTGCGTTGGTAATTGTCTTGGCGGCCTGGTCTCACCATCTGAACGTAGTGTGAATTCGCGTAAATCTACCTTCCGGATGCTCACCATCCCATCATGCAGTCGCCAAGAGGTCCTATCGCCAACGTCGCCGGTGTAACGTCCAAGAAGCTGTTCGCCGATCAGCACTTGGCTTTCTTGGTACTCCGCATAAGGCGTCAATCCCAGTGCCCATCATTATGCGTTACTCACCTGAAGATGATATGCGACCGGTTATTATTTCTGTCTTTTGTGTCTTCGCAGCGTCGGAACCGGTCTGATCTGTTGTATGAGTCCGTGTAACCGCGCGGGCAGTGTCGAGGACACGCGTGAGACCAGATCATGCCCCATCAGCTGAGGTCGCGCCTCGAATTCAGACACACGATACCGTGAATGGAGGCTAAGCGAGTTCTTCCAGAAGACACCGATCTCATGGAGGCACGTTCACTGCTCAGCCACTTTGTGCGTCTCTGCTCTTTGGCACGACTTGATTTCGGGTCCGATAAATGCCTAACTGAATCGAGTCAAATTTGGGGATCAAACTGAACTCTCTTATTTGTCAAACCCCGCAGCACTCAGTCGGGGTGACGCGCGGTCGGGTGTGCGGCGGGCTATGATCTCACTACCTTGGATCTCCCTGCTGGACGTCGACCGCAGCAGCCTTACCAGCTTTGACGCGCTTGGTAAGCTTTGGTGTCATGATTTTACCGACAACGAGTTCCTGTCCTTCACGATGCTAGAAAATTCATCGTGCCCAGAGGCAGATACGATAGCATCGGAATCCGGCAGTGGCGGCACGCACCAGCACAGGTCCACTGTACAGAGTTGCTCCTCAATATATCAGAGACCTGTCACTGTATCGTCTCCGTCAAAGCTCTTTCTCAGGGCCAGCTCATTCTACAAAGTAATCACTAGGGTATTCTTCGGAATTCGAGCCAGCGGTTCGAGAGGTTGTCCTGGACAGGTGCCGCCGGATTCGGCGCGCCGTACGGCGAGCGGTGTTCTCAATCGCCGCCTCCGAGATGCAGCGAACTTTTATCAGATGAAGCAAATAACCGTAAATAGAAACATCATTTTCTAGCCATTTCAAAGCACAACCAACAACGCGCTTACGACAGTATCTATCGACGAGTCATATTGTGCCTGGAACATTGGATGGAGGCCACCAGGCCTTGAGAAACAGCCTCGTTTTTGTGGATTTGCACATGTGGAAGCACTCCACCAGAGATGTTTCCTCTTATCGTCTGATGTGTTGAAACTTGCATGCGTGTACAGCGTGTCATCAAACACAGCCACGTGAATCAAAGAAACGGCCGCCGTGGATAATTTGCGACAGAGATGCTATTTTCAATATTTTCAGAAACTGCGTACAAATCGAAACACCAGAACATCATGGCCATGTGCATTTGTAGATGTTTCGCCAAGCCGTTATGGGTTGTGAACCGTGAGACGCACTCAACCCTCGCGGTGGATTCATGCGATCACGTCGAAGTAGGATGGCCGTTCAGTTTCATTCGACCGGCAATCGTCTGCTTCTGTTTGAAAACTAAGTAACGTCGGCTCGCATCTGGGGGCTTCTGTGTCATTCTGATCCTCCCTGCTATTGCGTTTTACCTGAGGTGTCAGGCCCTTTGCTAAAAGAATGCAAGTGTCTCAAAAGTTGAAGCTCATCTATCCCGTGAACAGATCTTCAAGAGATGGGTAGTATGAAAGATGGTAACCAGACACTGCTAGAAACCGGAAAGAGGATATTCAGCGACATGTTTCGAGGTTAACTCCCCCTCACCGTGCAATGACAGTTTCTCATGCAGATTAAATGTTGTCTTAGTCCTCACGATTTACCAATGTCTAGCCACGCCGCCGTGTTTTGTTTTTCATTCTTCGAACCCATTTTAAGGCAGAGTTGGTAAGCGTAAATCATACTTTGAGAACACAACATAAATTGCGTCTCATTTCCGTGGCCTACAAAAATCTATCTTTGACTGGTTGCCGAAATGTATGTTTTGCTGCCTGAGCTCGCTTTCAGATGGTCCCCCGGGATCATGTGCCTAAGTAATCAAAATGAAACTTGCCGAGTGAATTTTGATCCTGGTGTTGCGGGATCATAGCCATGTTCTGGCCTTGAACATAATTTTAGCGACATCGAACAGGACTTTCCCAAAGACCAAGGGTAAACTACAGAAGCTTTCTCATTGCTGCATAAAGCACGTTTGAAAACTTACAAGTCTTAGTCTTCTTAAGAAAAGGATTGTTTCATTTTTACATATTGCTTGAGGTGTGATGTGCACAAATGTTCTGGTCTAGTTGCCCACGACGAGCATTGAACACGAAGTCTCTTTTATTCACCTAAAGCAATCCTTTTAAGGACTTGTAGCAATACTATATACGTTATCTAACACTCGTCCCTTAGAGATTGTAGCTCAGGGTTACATCTATCATTCTACTATCAGTAGTAAGACGTCTGATCCAGCCCATGGCGCTCTCTAGTGAGATCAATATTCTAAATAGCGGGAAGCCCCATCTCTGAAGTAGATGTTTCCAACTGTGCCAGGACAACAAAAGTACCGTGAAGCTCCAAAACAGGAAGTAGAAGCACTCGATCCACCGATTGAAGCCAGGAACCTCCGACAAGCCTTCTTCATTGTAAGCTTCTAGATCTCCCCTCACCAGGTGCAAAACAGGCAGAAAAAGTAAACATGTAATCGAGGTGCAATACCAAATCAGCTTAGAGCCAGTCATTAAAGGCTCTAAATAGAGTAGTAATAGCGTAATGACCATTGTTATGATCATCGATACACACCAGATAGCTGCCCCGACCAAAAGCGAAGGGTGCCAAGTGCGAGACCGTTCCCGGCCGAGCAATATACTACAGGTGTCAGTCAACGTCAGGATCCAATCTCCAAGTCACTTGGTTTAGTTGACCTACCGTTTAATATGGTAAAAGAGAGCTATCAACATGCGCCATGACGGGAATCTCAAGAGAACCCAGAGCAAAGCTATTCCGGCCATAGCCTTTTTCAAGTTCGACAAGCTTTGCCAACGAGTAGCCACTGTTTTCCAAAGTGGGGATAAGGACAGATACGGAGATCCATGCTGTCTATGTCGTGCTGAAAGTGCGTATCCTTGCGCAACCGTATGCAAACTCCGCAAGCCCTGGAATGCTTGCTCGTTTGATGATCCAATGGCAAAAAATGCCATTCAGTTGTTTCCGCACTGAAGTCCAATGAATTCAAAGTCAGAGGCTTGCTGAACCCAAAAGCCGTTATGACATGTGCGTGACCGCCCGTGACTGCACGCACTGCAATTCTCAACGTTCTTACTGGCACATCAATGGGGCTGTCGGAAGTTATGTTGATGATCGGAATCGGTTTGTTTGGAGTATCAACCCGCTGTGTCAAACGCCCAGACGAGGGGGACCATGACTCCCACATCTCTGGTGGGCTAACACTTTCCACTCGATATCCGGATGGAAGAGATCGCAAAACAAACACAGATGCCTTTCGACCCTGTAGAGATCTTGATCTGGCCACGGCGTGGTGATCCTGGCGCGTCTCAAGGTATAGCTTGTGGTTGAATGAGTGTGATATGGCTTGCTTTCTGTCGACTAGTTGCACCGCTGGGAACGCACGACCACACCTATCTCCTTCTATAAGGACCGGGATAGTGAAAAAATTCCAATAGTCGTTTTCCGGGCGACACCATAGAAGAGCATAGGCTCGTCGTTCCCGGCGACTGCCCTCGTATTGAAAGATTATGGGAATCGTTATCTGTATGCCCATGTTGCTCAAGACGTATGGAAATACCCCTTCGATGGGGTTGCACGTCACAATGTTGCCGCAATTTCGAAACTGGGCTGGGGACTCCGCGAGTACTGACGAGTTCTGACATTTCGATTGAGATTCCCAGGCAATAGGCGTTGAGGTTGAGTCGGACGAATGCTAGGCGAATATCGACTGGTCGTCGCTTTTCCGAATGAGTTCCTCTTGCAATCGAAAGAAAGCGTTCTTGCTTCCTTCGCCGTACAGTAGCGGGATATGGACGTCAAAGATACCAAGCAGGCTGTAGGACCGGTCTTCTTCTCTTGCGGTCTCTCTTGTCGCGGCCCATGACATTCGCGCAGCTATTGAGGCTTCTTTGATGGACCGGCCTCTCAAAAACGCCTCGTCGATCTTGGCGACGGAACTGATGGCTTTCGCCAGGCCTAACTTGCTGCCAAGATGACCCCATGAGTTGGAGTAGAAATCGAGCTTTGCAGGAGCCAGAAGCTCTTGAAGTGTCCAGCCGCGTGTGAACCACCGACTCTTCGCGAATGCCGAGCTTTCATCGAAATCCGTATCACTAGGCACATCGGATAAGAAGGCGTAGCATATGGTTGAGTCCTGATACCACCGGAACATGGCGTTGATGGCTTCCGAAAGCTCTGCGCTGCTGGTCTTGTCGATACAACATGTGTCGACCCAGATGTATTCGAGATTATCCCGCAGAGTCTGCTCGCAAGAGTCTCGAATCTTGGCGTAACCGGCTTTCGCGCTGGCCGTCTGGCAGTCCATATCCTGCAGGGTGACCTCGCCATCTTCCCATGTATGAGAAAGAATGGCATAAGGCGGAACCCGTCTGGAGGAGAAGTCTTCGACTGCGATGGTCCTTGCGTTCAAGAGACGCATGGTCGTGAGCAAAGATGATGTTGTGAACACCCAGAAGTTGGAGAGAAGTGTATTGGAGGACAACGAGGAGCCTTGGGTAAATATCAGGCTGGCTGGTAAAATTTCATCACTATGCCAAGGTATGATATAGGCAACCATGAGGCGGTGTGATTGAATACTTTCTCAAGTAGAAAAATGAAACCTGCCCTTGGCGGGGATTGGCCACTTGATGCTGTTGGTCGGACGCGGCTTCAATGATTGGCCCACGTACTTTTCAATTCCTTCAGTTTTGTGCGAGAACGAAGTAGGTAAGTGAAAGCCCGTAAATGTGCAGAGGTTTCAAGCCTTCACGTATTCTGCGAAGACCATCATCGCTCACGTACTGTATTCGTTTCTATTGCCATTATTTTGCGTTTCATGTCACCTCCAGCGTTGTATATCAGGCAAGTGTACTCCTCCATATCGTATGGCGATGGCCTTGTTGCTCGTCAAAGTACCAAACTTCAATCGAAGGTTTCATGTTTACTATACTCTGCACTGTGGGAGACGAGTTACGTGAAGCCTGAGAATTTCGACAGCAAGTCAATATGATTGAGATCCTGAGCAATCTTCTCCAGAAACGGATCTCAATATGGCAATCAGTCGGGGTTTAGATTAACGATTTGAGAGCTCAGGGTATCCTCATCGATTCGAAATGATTACGGGACACTGGATTGGCGACCTCTTCTGAGTTCTGACTGAGTTACCAGGACATATTGAGAGACACCTTGTCAAGCGGTAGCGACAGCAAGGAACAGCTGTGCAAAAAAAGTCACAAACTACACACCAACACGCCACTTTCTCTCTGCCAAGATCATCGACAATCACATACGCCCTGCTTTCCCATCACGATTCAAAACCACCGCAATGCTAACAACAAGACAAGAATGACCACACGTCCATGTCATTAGCTGTCTAGTCCATCCTTATCATCGAAATAGAGTTGGCCTGGGAGCCCGGCATCTGAAGGTGCTGCAACCCTGCCAAGTGCCCCGAGCTTGGCTCCTTTGGGACTGGTTCCCAATATTGGTGCAAGACCGCACTCTCTCCATCATCGTCGATGTATGCCTACAAGACAATACCTGAGTGGTACTTGGCGGCACCCCCAATCCTGACGGCTGCTTTGGGCTGTGCCTCGACATCATCCACTGCGATAATCATTTCGTCACTGGCATGTTATGGGCTGCGGACAGGGGGAGGGATGAAGACCGGCTCACTTTTGCTCGATGAAAAGCTGGAGCTTCCAGATTCGCAGCTATGTAGCCCGCTGAGGCTTCACCCACCACCTTGGTCTTGGACCCGAGGAGAAAGCGCGGGGTAACGAAACATTAGAAACGAAAGGCAGAGGGCGCGTGACCACGGGTACGCATGTGCTGACGGGCACTGACTTCAGGGTCCACTGGGCAGCCCTGCACCGCGGCGCGGAGCCGGAGCTCCGGGAAGGATTGAAGTAGCGTCCCATGGTTCAGCACAACTGCCTACTGCGTGCTACCAACACGAAAGATAAGAAACCGAGGGACACGCTGTGCGCTGGGAGAACAAATGGCAATGTGGTCATTTGTCAACGTGGTTGGCGCCAGTGGCCCAAGCCATTTGGTTGTTAAGCTTTCTCGTGACACAGCGAAACGCATGGCTTTCGTGGGACAAGAAACAGTCCAGCTAGTCTTGGCCCGTCCGCCCAGACAAGCCATCTGCGTGGCCAAGGAACGGTTCACGGTTGTCGTGTTACTAGCGGGAGGGCTAATCTGGCAGGCCGGGAAAGCATCTGGCCAAGGCCCCCCCCGTCGTGAGATGGGGCCATTATGGAGACCCGGAATTTGCGGGGAAGGTCGACAGCTCGAGCGCATCGAGGATGGTGATGGATGATGATCCTTGTGACGAGTCAGGTAGAAAGGTGGATAGTCCGGGGAAGAGGTCGAAGAAAGGGTTGGGCAAGTCAATACTTGGCAGCGTCGGATGCCTTCAGATTGGTCTGTAGATGAAGGTGAGGGAGGGTCACACTCGTAACAAACGGGCTCTGTTGTTAGGTGTCGGACACTAAGTGGCACACCAGCGTCCGCCATGTTGTCTCCGAGGTGGTATCCAGGAAGCATGAAAACTCTGTGGCGAGTCGTGGAGTTGCGTCGACAGAAACAAGTACCCATAATGCTCACGGAGTCAATTGACTCGTTGGTGGACCAGTTGATCTGGCCGATTGGTAATCTGTTTTGAGATTACTTTGGTCTGATGAAGGGGCCGGAGGGGCACAAGGACCTTTTGCTGGCCTCAACCTTTTGGCTGTTCACGACCATTGCCAGCGGCTGAAGGGGGGATGCGAGAGTTCGCCAATGTCTCTCTACCATGTATGCTGAGATGTTCTGTAGCGCCTTCTGATTACACTGGGCCAACAGACAAAGAACGATTGGCGCGGCTTGCATGTCGCTGACGGAGTTATCTATCTGGGGCAGCAATGTTTAGGGGGGACCATCTGCATGCCAAGGCTACGCTGTCACTCAGAGATGGCTCCAAGATCAAGAGCTAAGGCACCTAGTTGTCAATGGTGTCGGTACAGCAAACACAGCGTGACCAGCGAGGACGAACGGCGACCTATCCGGTTCGTTGCGAAGGACAAGAGTGACAGACCAAGGTTGAAGTGTGTGAGGGCGCTAGTCAGAAAGGGCAATGGGAATCAAAATTCGCTGTCGAGAAGTCGAGGGTTGTGAAAAGCTTCGGAGAGGAATCAAGCGGTCGACGAGGGCCCAGTGCCTCCTAGGGCCTTGAGCCAGACCAACGAATAAAAGAGGGTTTCGTTTGAGCTCGAGTAAAGGAGGACTGGGATTGGCTGGTGGAGAAGGCGAAGCTCTCGATGACAAGAGTTTATCGCTTGGCTTTCATCCGGCCTGAGGTCAAGGTTCTTTTTCGAGGCTCGGGATGTTTGAGGTGGCCCAAAGATGAGCAGATGGTGTCGCTCGAGGATGGGCCGATGGTGGTGCAAAGTGGCGAGAGCGGCCATGCGATGGCACGCGAGATGGGACGCTTGTCTGTTCGCCGTGCAGTGCTCAAGTGCTCAGATGGGCGACTGCATTGAGTTTGGCATAAGTCGAATGCGACGGTCTGCGTGGTGAACTTGGTACGAAGGGGAGCATCCAGTGCAGGCGTGTGGATGGATGTCTTTCAGGTGCAGCAACTGAGATGCATCGATGCGGCAGCAAGCCAGGCAAGGCAAAGCGTACGTACAGGAGATGGGAGAGATGGTATTGGCGGGTGCAACGCAACGCAGCAGGGGTGGTGGGGGCGAGGGGACGGGGATGGGGCAGGGGATGGAAGGGGAAGCCAAGTGGGAGGAGGAGGAAGGAAAGAACGTTGTGGTGGGAAGGAGGAGAGGGAGAAGGCAAGAGTCCACCTGCAATGTGAAGGAAAGAGCGAGGGCTGCTCTTGCTGTGCTGCTGCCCACCTGCCCAAATGCCCAACACATCAGGACCAGAGGGCAGAGGCCGATTGAATGGATGTGGCATGGAAAGACATACCAAGCTATCTACGTGGTAAGACATGCAGAGGAGGAACAGGAGGACCAGGACCCCTTTCTCGTTCCATTCCGCCGCTTCCTGCTGCGGCCAATATGGTTTACCAACCTACGCAAGGCAGGATAGGATAGGATAGGATAGGATAGGCCGGGCAGGCAGGCGACTTCGAGTTCCAAACGTCGCTCTTTCCTGAAATGATCTTACCCCGCATTTCATTCGGTCTTCTCATTCGCTCCTTCCTGGTGACGTCTTGAGCGGGGGTCTAGCTGGTTCCAAGTGCGTTTAGCGTCGTTTTCCGACAGTACGTATCCCGGCTCGCTGCCCCCAAGGTGCCTTAACGACAGGTCGTGATTGGCCGGTGAGTCCCTGAGCTCTGCAAGCTTGGGGCTAGGGACCTGCTGGGGCCTCTGCCGCTGCCGTAGCCTCCGCGCCAGCCCGCGCAGATGGCAGCCCAGTCGGTCTTGCCTTTTTGGAGAGACTTTGGCGTCGTTCATTCCACTCTTCTCTCCACAGATTCCCGTCTCCATCGTCGAGGGCGTGCTGCGGTGCAGTGCAGTGCAGTGCAGGGCCAAACGGATGGGAGGTGCAGGGGGAGGCAGGAACCACCGACGCGAGAGGGCAAGAGCGAGGGGAAAGGGCAGGAATAGACAGACAGGACAGGACAGGCAGAATAGCAAGCAGGAGCGAACATCAGTAGATCCCACGTCCATCAATGCGCCATGCCAGCCCACCGCTGAACCACCTTCCACAGTCATCAACTTGGCCGAGTCCGCTTTCGATCCATCCTCCTGAACATCATCGCGATTCAGCACCCGGCACTCTTCTCCACGACCGACGACTGCAACACATCACCAATCCACCCACCACAACCCGGGCAGTCCACATCCGCATCACATCCACATCCACTGGCAGTGCAGTCCTGTGTTGTGCCGCTCGATCACGCACTCAATCTGTCCTTCTCTCGCGGAACCCACTGCCATCTACGGATACAGATACGAATACCGCCTGTCGACTCACGACCCAGATACTGTTGTATCCCACAGCAACCTTGTGCCGCTCTACCAAGTACGTACCCCATTCAACACCGGGGCTTCGCTCACTGAAGCCAAACGGCTTGTCGGGCGCTCAAACAGACGCCGCTGACCGACCGACACCAGGCCCGATTTGCCTCTCCCCCACACGCACCACCGCCCATCATCACTTGCCTGTCCTGGTTCACCAAACGGCATCCAGCATCCAGCAACAAGCCACGCCCAGCTCCCGGCGACACACCATCTCAGCCAAACCACCACAACCAGCCATCCCCCCCCTTTTCACACGTCTCTGGACTGTACCGTATTGTACGCGCAAACCCTCAGACCCTGCCCCCTACACCTTTCCAAAGATACACACAGACTGCCTGTCCCCCAAGCTCGACGTCACTTCAATTTAGAGCTTCCACCTGCTTACTGATTGTCCAAGAACACCGCTCAAAGACACGCTCCCCCCGTCGATCTGCCCACCCTTCAGCCCTCACGGCACAAACAGCCCCCAGGCACAAAGACGAGGTGTACAAAAAAGACACACGTCGTCCTGAGTCTTGACTCCGACCACCTTAGCAATTCTGCCAGCAAACCCCTTGATCGACACTTTTCCACGGCGCACTATCCGTACGCTCGTCCCATCCCTGGTCTTCCTTGTGATCAACCTTTCGTAACCCGCCCTTAGTGTCACCCTAAATCAGTCCATCGGCCACCTCGATATATAACCACCCTGTTCCACACATCCGCAGCTGTCGAACGATTCCCCGTTCGATCCCTCTTTCGATTCCTTCTAGATCTCACCCCACGCAGACACCTGCCGAAACACCACTTGGACTGCACATTGACAACTCCATCGCCTCTGCGAAACTACATATACCGCATTTTCAATCCCGCCCCCAACTGAATTCTGCCATCATGTCCACCGACAACTCCAACAACAACCCCAACACCAACAACAGCCCCCAGAACGAAATGCACCGTCAGCGCCGCGGCTCCGTCACCCAGCAGGCCATCGCCGGCCTCTTCAGAAGCAACTCAACCTCGACCGGTGCAGCTTTCCCCACAGGCACTGCCGATGCTCAAAGACGTCGTCTGTCCGTCTCCACCGGTCTCGGCCTCACTGGCACTTCGCCCACTGGCCCCAACGCCTTCAACTCTCTTAGACGGGGAAGTCTTTCGACCAACTCCCAAGACTCCATCGATGAGAATGCTGTCGACGAGGAGGAACTGCCTCCTAATGCTCGCACCGCACCTACCACTCCCTTCACTCGCAGAATGAGCTTTGGAGCTCAGGCGATGCGCAACCTGCGCACCGGCGGTGGAAGTCCGGGATCAAACGGTAACAACCCACCTGCTTCTGCTTCTACTCCTGCTTCCTCTTTGCCCATCACGCCTGCTCCCACCGACAGACGCGGCAGCGTTAATTCCCCGCGAAGCGTTGGGACCGGTGTGAATGCCACGCCGCCCAACAGCACCTCGTCTATCACAGCCGCCCTGTCGTCGGCCAGACGTGGCAGCAGTACTGCCCAGGCAAGCAATGCACACAGACAAAGATCATCTTCTGACGTGTTCTCGCGCCCAGACCAAGGTTTCAACTGGTCCGAGCAGCTTAGATCTCGCGCCGAGAGCTCCGTCCAGGGCTCACGACCATCCTTTTCTTTCGGCTCCGGCCTCTCAACCTCGCCTCCTCGCGGCATGCCCAACGGAAATCACGACCGAACCAAGTCTGTTTCTGACATGCCTGCTCCGCCCGCCCAGGCTGCTGCCATGAAGCCTAAGGCTCCCGAGCGACCGAAGCCCGATGCCTTCCAGGAACGCATCCTGAAGGGCGACTTCTACATGGACTGAAGGCAATTATGACAGGCTGACACGAGATGTTGAACATCCGCCATCGCGATGAGCTCCGTTTCGATGGCTGCGTCTTAATGAGTCCAAGGTTTTATGTTACGGAGATCGGCAAAAGATCATTAGCGTTTCACGGTTTTCGAGCGTTCTGTTTATTTGTTTACGTGGGGAACTTTCATCGTCGACACTTTATCCCACGTGGCGTTCGGTTGGTTCAACCGGTTCTGGCGGATGGTCCGGTTGCGGATTTGATATGGGCGGGGAAGCACCATATCACTCACACATGAGACTGGTTGTCTCACTTTTATCACGGAAGCGGAATGGGAGTGCAATTTCACGAGGAGTTACCACACGGCATGGGGAATGTGGAGGAAGATGATCGCAAATTGCAAAATTTCGGGTTACTAAAACAAGTTTGGTCCGGAAAAAGATATCTGGCTATTATTGCTTGCAGCCCATCACGAGAGGGGATCAGATGGTGCCGCTAACCGACATGGATTCATGTCTGGCGTATGGAAAGGAGAGGCTACTGTATCGTTACACCGCTGGCGGTTGCCCAGCGAGGAGTGAACATGGGGGGTCTACAGCTCATGGTGGACAGACAGACTGATGAAGCATGGTCCTGTTTTGTGAGGGTACCGTGATAGGTACAGAGTGAAGAGTAAGACAGACGGGAATGAGGGGTTAGGTTGCGGGCGCGCAGCCCGGGTGAGAGGCGGACGAACGGCCGGCAGCCCACGCCGAGCTTTAGCTACCATGAGAAACACGCTCGGACCCGAATGGAAAAGTTTCGTGGTCTCTACCACACTCGTCTTGCACTTGGAATGCGTCTCGATGTGACCTTGATGCTCTTGACTAGCTTCATGATAACAGCACCAGAGCGCCTCGCTGCGAGCCAGGTGGCGCGCGAAGATTGTCGGCAACTGACCTCACAAGGGAGGCTCTCGGCGTGGGATAATAACTGGGACCAAATCCCGGATGATTGGTAAACATTCCCATTCGTCAGCATCACGCCCAACTGATATCACAATCTGTGGTCCTGTGGTCCCGTTCCAACCGGGGCCATTCGGGAGGATTTAACGTGCATCCGCTGGGACCGGGTACGCGATTGTGAAAAAAAGGGGGATCCATTTGTTTTCATGTTCAAAAGGCATCCTATTTGCTGTCGTGCCTAAAATAATTCCTTCATCCAAAACCCAGGTATCACGTAACGATAAATTGACCAAAAATAATGAGACAAGCTTTTTGGCTTTCCCCTACCCACCTTGCCCCCTGGTACGCTCGCTCCACATTGCCGTGTTCCGTAGATACTTTTACAATAAAGGTGGTTTGGTTGATGTTTGTATGGCGTAGTGAGGAACGAGAATTTTCGACAGAGTTGCTGTTTATTGTTTGATTCAACCGCCTGTGCCCTGGAATTATCCCCCATTCCTGTTTCCTTAACCAACTGCGAGACTCGCGCACTCAGTCTCAAAGCGCTTCGTCTGATCGTGGCATCATTGTTTCTCCCCCGCACACGAAGACTCAGACTGCGACAATTCCATGTGCTTCAATTGAGGGGTTCCCACGGAGCTGAGTCTCCAAAGGGGTTGGAACAGGAAACATCTCCCTTTCTTTGTGCCCTCGTGTCTCTTTTTCAAACGACGAGCCGTCAGCAAAGCAACTTTCTTTCCCCACAGACTGAGGGAGGGAATTGAGTAGAGATGGATTTGGTTCGGCGTTTGTGTAGCAGGCGCGGGGTTTGTGTCAGTGACGGACCGGACGTCGATCATCCTTGCTTGTTCCACGCCCCGTGCTTCGCGGATGGGAAAGATATCGCCGGAAGGTCGGGAGGGAAACTGCATCCGCCGGACGGCAGCCTCGGAGATAGAGCGGCTCACGGCCGATGAGCCGAGTAGCCCGGCAGCAAGCAGCAGTGGTAGCGCTCCGCGTCGAAACACCTAAGCCCGTACGTGATGACGCCGCCCTGGGCTGAAGAGGAAGAAGACGCGCGTGTTTACGCAAGCCCCCCGATCTAGGTCATTCACATGGGAAACATGGGCGGACCGCCTCCCCCGGGCATGCCCTCAAACATGTCCCCCATGCCCATGACCCCCAGCCCGCTCAGCCACGGATCCTGCGCCATCACGTACCTCATCCCGCTGCTCAGGCTGCCCGGGCTCGCCCCGAAACCCGACGTGAACTCCTCGACGCTCAGCCCCTCCGTGAGCCCCACGTCGATGCCCATGTCCTGCAGGTCGCCCGACCACACGGGCGGCATCCAGTTGTTGCCCGCGCCCGTCGTGGTCGCCGCCTCCATGGCACCGCTGCTCGCCGTGTCGGGGCCTGAGGACGCGGAGGCGTCCATGCCCGGTGTGACGACGCTCGGGTCGTACATGAAGGCCTGCTGCCGCGGCGTCGGCGCCGGGCTCCACATCATGTTGCCGCCTGTCCGCCCTGCAGACGCGGACCGGTCGTTCGTCGCAATTTCAGATAACAGATGCAGAGGCGTGTTGGCCGCGGGGTCGTACTGGATCGTCGGCGGGGGTTGATAACTCGGCGCCCTCTCCTCCGGCGCCGCAGCAGCAGGCGCCACGGCCGTCTTCTCCGGTGCGGGTGTCGAAGACGACGTGGCCCGTCCAAGCTCCGGCGTTGGTTGGGGGCCACCCACGCCCAGGCCCTTGCTCTGCTTCAGGAACCAGCTGCGCAGCATGACCAGCACCACCAGGAACTTGGCCGCGGGGCGGCTCCTGTCGTCGGACGCGGCGGCGCGGAAGCGCTCCAGCAGCGCGTCGAGGTAGAACTCGACCTTCATGTTGTCCTTGTCAATCACCTTGCCCAGCTCGGAACCGGGCGCCGTGGCGGAGAAGTACATCTTGATGAGCACCACGACGGCGTACGCGACGCGCACGAAGTTGAAGACGGGCAGGCAACGGATGCTGGGCACCTCCATCGACAGGAACGCCTCGAAGATGCCGTCGATGGCGGAGAGGCACGCCGAGAGGGCGTTGATGTGCGACGTCGTGAGCTGCAGGTTGGGGAGCATGCCGTCCTTGAGGGTGGCGGTGTCGAACGGCGGGCGGATGTCGTCGAGCTGGGTGTGCAGGGCAATCTCGTGCATGTACAACGACAAGACGTGAAAGCTCATTTTCAACGTGGCTGTGAGAAACACCCCGCGTTAGCATTAAGCCTTCCATTGCATATACACCAGGGGATCGTAGCACTTACCGCCCATCTCCTCCTTGGGCACATTTTTGCTATACTTTTCCAAATCCCTCTCCAGCATCCTCAAAGAGTACTGCGTCCTCGAGTCCGTGATGTTCGGCACGACCGCCGGGTCGTCCATGGCAAACTGCACCCCCACCTCCTCCGCAAGTCGGTGCGTCCACACGAGATGGCAGAAATACCGGTCCGTCGGCGCCGCCTCGGGGCTCGTTTGCAGCACCTCCATGCTCTCCGCCATGAAGCTCGTCCACCGCACCAGGTTCGGCCGGTGCAGAGCCATGCTCGTGTTCGCCGCCAGAAAGTAGCTCGCCAGCCACGCCCGCCGACACTCCAAACTCGTCGGATCCGGCGGCGGCGCCCGCCTGAACGGGTGGTTGCGCCACTGGTACGGCACCTGCATCTTCCTGCCGCCCGTCCGCCGCCCGAGCCCGATGTCGAGCGCCATCACCGCGCCGATGTGCACGAGCTGATAGAACTTGAGCTCCTCAAAGTGCTCCGGCGGCCAGTACCAAATCACCGCGACCTGCAGCGCCTGCACGATCTCCAGGCTCTTCTCGCCCGTGATGATGACCTTCTCCGCGAATATCTGCATCAACTCCTTCACCAGCCGGCGCTGCACGTTCGGGCTCTCCGACGACGCCGCCGACATGATGGCCAGGAACAGCAGCGGCTTCGACCGCCGCAGCTCGTCCCCGGTGGTCGACGGCGGGAACACCACCGCCGGCATGTGCGGCATCATGTACGTCTTGTACCTCTCAAACAGCTCCGAGGCCTTCTCGGCGCTCAGGATGCCCCTTTCCACGACATCCGCATAATCTGCCCCCATCTGCATCGGCGGCGCAGGCCTACTCATCTCCGGGATCTCGGCCGGCGTGCCTCCCCTCTCGCTGAACTTCCTCTTTTGCCCAGCAAGCAGCCCGGTATCAACACCCCTCCGGTCCGCATCCTCATCGCCCGGCGTCGCCGCTCCCCAAGCCCTCGCCATGCCATGATCACCCCACCCCCTCTTGAAAGGCGTCTCCTCCCTGGGCACCGGTGTCCCGACGACGGGCTGCGGCACGCTCGCCGCAGCGCTCGGAGCCGCCCCCGACGTGCCCCTGGCCTGCAAACTCGCAGTCAATGCATCAATCTTCTTCTCCAGCTCGGCAACCCTGCTGTCCGTCTTTTTCTGCCTCTTCCTCGTCGGCATCGTCACGATGCAGTTCCTCCCCGCCTTCTTGCACCGCTTACATGGGCCCTCCGCATCGTTCGGGTCCGGCTCGCATCGCACCTTCAGGCCGCGACACGCCTCGCATGCCCTCGGCCGTTTGGGATCGTCCGGGTTGTTGCCCCCATGGAGCCCGTCATGCTGCGGCGTCTCCCCGGCGTGCGCAGAGTGAGGTGTCTCGGGGCTCTCGGTGCCCGCCGCCGTGTCGTGGTGATGTCCCTGTCCTTGTCCTCCCTCGGCTCCGCTTCGCCCGGGAGCCGTTGGTGAGGCGGCAGCGGCAGCTGCAGCTGAAGCGTCGTCGTCGTGCGTCGTCGCGGGGCCTGCGGTGGGACCACCGCCGTTTCGGCCGTTTGTGGGCGTCTCGGCGCCTCGTAACGCTGGATCGAGGACCGACGTGCCGTGATCCATTGCTGTGCGGGCGGCGCAAAACACGATGGGCTGGGCGTGCTGCTTTGTGTTGCTGGCTAGAGAATTGGCGATCGGATGATCGGGGGACGGAATTGCGGCGGTTGAACTTGCCGACCTGACTTTCAGCGAATTCGCGCGGCCTGCGAAGTGCCGACACTTCCGACACTAACAAATATTAGTCAGCGTCGTGCCTCGGTGTTCGGCCACTATCAGTCGACCATCCATCCATCCCCTTACTCTCACGCCGAAGGTTAATATGTAGGCATACATGTAGGCATGTTGTCAAGTTGAACCAACATCACCATGGATGGAGCTGCGTGTGGTTGAACAGAATTTTGATTTCAAAGCTAAACCAACTATCCAAATATGCTGAGTTGCTTCCAGAAGAGCGCAGTTTAAAGTCAGAAGACGAACTGTTGCAGTTCAATGCCGTCAACGCCATGCTAAGCCCCGGAAAGATCACGCATGAACCGCCGACAACCGCCTGTTGTGCAACCACCCGGGAAAACCATAACGTGGCTCCGTATGATACAAGTTTGACCCGTAAATCATCCGCTCATGCGCCTCGGTTCCAAATTCAGCCTCGTCTTCTACCATTAGGGCCTCGTCTCCGCAGCTCTAAGCTCGTTCACAAATCGAAAAAGAAACTCGGCAACAAAAGGCTACGTGTGCGAAAGGTAGCGATCGATATTAGAACGTAATGGAGCTCTCGGCACCGGTCCGGATTCGGGTTGTATGTTCGGGTATATTGGCGCCGTCATGTCGTCCGTGCCCTCCTGGATGGGGGGGCTGGGTTATATAGTAAAACTCAAAAATGAAATGTGCAAAGCATGGTATCAACGCTGCGTGTAAACGAGTGGGTATGTTTGCTGAAGAATCGTGGGGGTTTTGTGGATGGTTGTCCATAAAATAGGCTCAGAAGCGAGTCTCCTCTCGGAGACGACTCTTAGAGCTTTGCGGGTTTAATCCCATCATGTTGCCCATAAAGATGGCGCTCTCTCGTCGTTTGTGGGGCTGGCTGTAGCCGCCAGAGCCGTTGTCGTAGCTTTGGGCCATGCCGTGATAACCGTTCGACTCATACCCTTGCGGCGCATACTGAGGCTCATAACCCTGCCCACGGCTGGTCGGGTAGTTTGGCGGAGGTGTAGGTGATGATCGAGCACTGTGCAAGTCTTGCAGAAGGGGCGGCGGTGTTCCGCTAGTTCTCTGCTGGCCTGTCATGGCCTCCATGAGTCTTTGCCGGTGAGGCGACTGGCTCGATCCGGCGGACGTAGAGGGACGCGCTTGCTGCGGGTCGAATGACGGTCGGTTGGGCAGACCATTGGCCATACTCGGCAAAGATCCCGATCGCTCACGGCCGGAATCTCCGTCAAAGGAGGACGGTAACTCATATTCTTCGGGTTCAAAACCGAAGATGCCCGAGTAGTTTTGCAAGAGCATCGCGAAGACGGGCGCTGGAATGTTCAAAGTCGGCGAGAAGACGATACCTACATTGCGCACCGTCATCTTATTCATGTCTGCGTTGTTGATGATCTTGATCAGGAAAGCGATCAGGTACTTCAGCAGCGTGGCGTTTGCTTGAGGAAGCCTCTGCACCAGCTCAGATAGAGCGAAGATCTTTTCCTTGAGGCCAGACATTTCTGTGACTGCCAAAAACTCCAGGTGAAGGTCTCGAGTAAGGATGGTCGTAGGCAGTTCACGCAGGTACAACTTGAGCAAGGAAGCGACAGCATGAATGTCGTAGTAAGTCTCGTCGGTCACCAGATTGACGTCACCCTCAACGTTGAAGCGCTCGCGGAGTTGCTTGATGACAACGTTGGAGCCACTCAAACGGAAGATGCCTTCCTCCAAGATAGCGTTCTTGGCGTCTAGGTACTGAATACACCTGTAAACGACTGCAGGCAGTGGTACATTGATGTCGACGGGATGGTTGTATCGCACCGCCTCGGCCAATGGTGCTCCGAACGCCTGGCGCACGGGACCGGCATAGCCGCCTTGCGGAGGGGTTGAGGAACCACCCTCACTTCCACCGAACAAGGAGTCTTGTCCATCAGACGATGACCTAGTCTTGGGCCCGAAGCCGAAGAAGCTGCGTTTCTTGATCTTCTTCTCCTCGTTGACGGGAAGACCGAGGCCAGGCTTGTTGCCCCACTGAGCCGAATCAGCAATGGGATGCATATCTCTCGGAGCAGAGATCATCATCGACGGTTGTGAAGACATTCCCATCGCCTCAGCGTGATGGTGATCTGGCATAGGCCCTCCAGGGCCCCTTGGTCGTACGGGAGCACCGTGCTGAGGTAGGTCACCCTGGGATGTGGCGTCATAACGAACACCGATAAGGTTGTCTGACGACTCAGTCGGCTGTTGTTGTTGCTGGGGTTGGTGTTGAGAAGCCGTCTTCTTGTATCTCTGCTTCTTCTTCTCAGCGCGCTCGGCGGCAGCAGCCGCTTGGCGGTCATGAGCATGATGCTTTGCCGCCTGAGCCTCCTCCTCCTCGGGATCCTTGAAGTCGATCCATCTGAGCAGAGCATCAACCCACTGATCTCTCTCCCGGTCGTTCTCAGCGCAAAGCACGTGCTTCACGTGACTGCTGGAGTCCTTCTTCTTGGGTTCCAAAATGAGGAACGCGTGCCGGTATTGGTTATCGGCCTCTTCGGAGTTTGCTGACTGCTGAGGGGATTGATTGTCGTTGCTCTGGGACTGTTTGCCGATTTGTGCGCTGGGCAACTTGATGGTACCTAGGTGAGCACCACCCGGAGTCTCATAGTACTTTAGGTGAGGACCATCGAGAACAAAGAAGCGCGCCTTCCAACCACCAAAGTTCTTCCCCCGCTTAGTGAGATAGCCTGTTCTGAACGGACGACCACCCGGTCCAACCTTGGTCTTGTTCTCGACCAATGTCTCCATCGACCCGGCATCGTCGGCATTGGGAGGCAATGTGTTCGTCGAGAGGTACTTGCAGAGCTCCAGAGCGCTCGCAGTGTCCAAAGGACATTCGAGGACCTCTTCAAGGTACTGGTCGAGTGCCACTCGTCGGGCATCGAGCTTGGCAGGAGCATGGCCACTGAATAGTGATCTCTCGGGCGTCTTGGCAGTGAAAGCTGAGCACTGCTTCAACCTGGAGTCCAACTTCGCTAAAGAGGCCGAATCCTTTTCAACCCGCCACAACTCTCCAGGCTCAGATCGCGAGAAGATGGCGAGAGTGAATACAGGGTCCTCTTCCAGTTGTGTCAGGGAAATGAGACTCGCTCGCGACGGCTTCATACGTGAGGAAGCAACCTTGACTATGATCGTTGGCAAGACGTTAGGTCCGAGCAGCAAGTCGGGGTACTCTTCACTGGCGAATCCCTTGAAAATACGGCCAGGATCACCGCGCTCAATTGGGCTCATGCGGCTCCTGTCGCTAGGAGGCGACTGACTGCCTTTCTTTACGATGTTGAGGGGCTGGGGGCTCTTCAATACCATAGGCTCAGAAGGCAGTGGAGTCTGAAGAGAGTGTCCTGGAGGAAGGGGGATGGGTTGACGAGGCGGTCGCGGTGACAGAGGGCCGGAGGGGAATGATCCCGCGCCTCTTGGGGAGTGGGCAGGGCTGTCAACCACCGGAACTCCTAGCGGGCGCGGGCTGGACGGCAAACCGGGACTCAAGAGCGGAGCGTCAAGAGTCTGGGGGCTGAGTACTCCAGCCAGAGAGGCAGGAGCGTTGTCGCGGTGCATTCGCTTCGGCGGGCTTGGTGGCAGGTCGGTGGGTGCCGTGATTGTCTCAGTGGGCGTGCTCTTCTTCGACAAGCTCCTCCTCTCCATCTCTTTTTGAACCAAGACTTCCCTATCGCGATCGTCCTCCTCTCGCGTTCTTCTTCGACCACGCGCCTCGCTGACGATTTCATCAACCTCCAAGATGTCGTCGAAGTCAGTATCACTTTCCTCCTCCTCGGCAACAGCCTGGCTTTTGCTACCAAGCTGCAACGGAGCTGGAGGTGGCTTGCGTGGGGGTGGTGCGGGAAATTGGGACAACCCTTCATCAGTAGCCGAGTCGATTGGAGGTGCTTTAGGAGGTCTCGGGGGAGGGACGCTGGGTGGCTGGCTGGGTAAGCTGCGAGATGGCGGCAGTGACATGCTGACAGGGAGGTCCATGAACTGTTCCGCCTCAAGCGCTTTGCGAGCGGCGTCGGCAGCTTGCTCCTCCGCGTCGTGGTTGAACTGGTCGTAGGCGTGTTCATGAGCTCTGGGCATCTCGTGTGAAGGATCCAGCAGCTCGCCGACAGCTGACGGAGGGCCATTCGGTTGATCCGCCGGAGGTGTGATCGGGTAGGGCGCCATGGCCAGGTCGACCGGGGAATGCTTTTGGCTGTCGGAATCCAGAATCGGGGAATCTGGAGCCACGACTTGTCGCTCTTTGGGAGCGCTGATATCAACCGTCGGTATCGCCTTGTGCACAGGCATTTTCATGACCTTGCTGCTAGTTCTTGAGCCATCGGAGGCTATCGTTTCGGGAACGTTGATAACTTCCTTCAGTTTCTTCCGGTATTTTTCCTTGTCTTTCAACGCGCGTTCCAGATCCTTGTTCAGCCCCAGAATCATGGCTCGTTGCTTGTCGACGAGGCGCCATAACTGTGCATTTTGTTGTGACTGTGACTGCTTTTCTTTAAGAAGGTATTGAATCACGGCCTCCGGACTGCCTGCTGTCTTAATCAACGCAGCGATATCTGTAGGATCAGATGATTGGCTGCCGGAGGCGCCTCTTTGCGATTGAGACTTTGTGGAGATGGCCGAAATGGCCGAGTCCATTGACGAGTTCCGCGGTGCACCTTTGCCTGGGTGGCCCCGTGAGGCAGCGGCCGAGCCTCCAGGTGTAGACATTGGGGATCGGGGCGGGCCTGCAGAAGGCCTGGAATTTAGGTATGGTTCGGAGGCACTGCGACTATCATTCGAGGGAAGCGGCGATATTCTCGGTCTGCTGTATTTGTCTGTCAGTCGTGCTACGTGTGGCCGCGCGCGGGGCGCCGGGGCTTTCCAATCGGTACGATCCAACGGGTGCTGCAAACATACCGTGGCGCGGTGCGTTCGGGTGTTGACGAACTGGACGAATCACTTTGGTAGTACGTCTGCGGTTCCCCCAAGAGGTCGACAGGAGAGCGTAGATCGTCGGTTGGGGTCGTTACAATGTCGGGCAGTGTCTTGGAGCGTGGCACTGAGAAGTTGGCCACGAGCGGGAAGAAGGACGAAGACCGAACTGAGAATGGGCTCGTCGGAGAAGAGACTGCGGTGCTCTCGTGTAGAGGACTGGGGATCGGGCGGCGAGGAGATCTAGAGGGTGGAGGGCATCAGTTATTGTGCTGCCCCTGCCGGCGTCGTGAACTTTGAGGTCCACAAAATAGTAGTAGACAAGGAGGGCAGCAGAAGCGGATAAAGCAAAGAGGCAAGAGGGGGAGAAAAAAAAAAGAGTCAAGAGCTGGCTGCCAAGACAAGCACACGATATCCTCGGAAACCAGGAACCAAGGAACAGAGAGACTCTGGCTCTGGCTTTGGCTCCGGCACTGGGTGGGAGGAAGAAGTCGTGGTGAATGCGATGGGTGAGCGACTCGCGGGTCTTTTGGCTGGCAGTCGTAGGTGGTTCAAGGTTGTAGAGGCAAGGAAGGTCAGGTCAAGGGGAAGAAGCAGCAGTGAGAAAAAGCAAGGCGCAGAGCGAGCAGAGAGAGACAGTAGCCGACACCACACACCACACACACACCCACAGACGACGGCGAACAGCAGAGAAGCAGGATGATGAGTGGACCGTTTCTTCTTTGGTAAGCACCGCAGTGGATGCTCTGTGGGAACGTACCTTGGAGATGGGGTCAGAAGAGGGCTGGCCACAGTAGTGGCACCGCTGTGAAAGTGACTGGCAGCGGTGCTGGTGCTTGTGTTTGTGGTGCTTGTAATGCTTGCAGGATCGGGAGCCGGGATCAAGAGGCCTGTCGTGGGGCTATCCTGGGAGGAGGGCGAGGATGAGGAGGAGGTGTACTTTGGGGCAGCATCTGCTACCTGGAGCCGGTGAAGAGGGTGTTTTTGGTGAGGAGGCAGGCGAGTAGTGACACCAGCAGCGATAGCAGGAGTATGAGTATGACCATGACCATGACCATGACCACCACCATCACCGCCCTCGCCGCCAGTATGACCAGAAGGAGCCCTGGCACCAGCAACAGCAGCGGCAGTGGGGGCAGCATGTCCAGTGCCAGCGCCAGTCAGAGTCGCAGATGCGGCCGTCGAACCAGCATCCGCAGCACAAGGACCAGATTCTGAAGTAGAGCCCTGGGCACTCCGAGTCTGGAGCGCAAGCTGCGACATGGTGGGCAATGCGACGGGAAGACAACTGGCCGGCGGCCCAACTGGGGGGGTGTGCAGGGTCAGAGCTTAACGCAGGACAACCTCGCTGAGGTTTCGAGATGCCTGGATGACCCTGACTGCCGTTGCATATATTACACCGGCCGCTTTTTCTCTGAGTGTGCGTATTTTATTTTTGCTTTCTCGGGAGCGAGCGAGCGAGGGCCGCCGGGACTGGACGGACGGTAAGGCAAGGACCGGAGACGGGGCCCTTGGGCGATGGAGCCAGGCGTCTTCCCTGCACGGCGAGAGTCTGCAGAGCTGCTGTACTGTGGCCGTCTGTCTGGCAACGTATGTGTGTAGGTACTTCGGAGGATGGGATGTCTGTCGACTGTGATGCGATGCGATGCGGGTGCGGTTCAAGTTGCAGTCACTGGTTGCAGTTGTATCGCCAGGAGGGATCGGTGACCGTAGGGCAGGGCGGGCAGGCGAACGAGATGAGGTGGAGGTGAGGAAGAGGTAGGTTGTAGTCGAGGCCGGCCACACAGCAGATCAGATCAGATGAATGGCGTCCTACAAAGGGAGGGAGGGGCCGTCCTCGTTCTTTGTGGGAAGAATTTACGAAGCTGGCGACGGGTGAGACAAGTGCCCGTTGTCTTGAGCAGGCGTGTAAGGTACACCTTCTGTGCCAGAGGCGCGGGGATCATTTACTGGCCGTTGACCTTGGCTTGTTGACCTCCACCGAGGCGAGCGAGTGGCAGCAGCGGGCACACGAACAACCACAGACAGACAACAGACGGATGAGGTGGCCTCGTGGTTGTTGATCGTGGTGGTGGTGGTGGGTGTGCGTGGCCGACGTAGGTTTGGCAATGGTAATGCAAATGCAAATAGTATTCGTCCACCTCGTCGCAAATTGCAGGCCGGGCGGCCAGGCCAGAATGAGGTACAGTTGCAATAAGGTGGTGGCCGTCGATGAATGGAACCCCTGGGTTCCTGGATTGCCGCTTCCAGTAACAGCCGGAGGGCGGCTGATTCGTGCTTGTTGCAGCGGGTGGTGACGTGCGAATCAGACGGGAGTCTTCTGTGGTTCTCGATTCTTTGACGGAAGGGCTCCAATTCAACTTCACATTAGTCGGGGACCTTGCCTTGCGCTGTCATTTACTCATTCATCCCCAACACCCGAGAGCAGCAGCAACGACGGCAGAAAGCAGGCGCAGCAGCAGCAGGACAACCAGGCGTAGGAGTAGGAGCAGGAGCAGGAATAGGTGCAGGTGCAGACGCAGGAGCCCGAGCAGGGTCGTACATCTGAAGGTAAACAGGAGGCCGGATGAAGTAGAGCGAGCGGCTGGGGCCTGTACTGAAAGCCTGCGATTTTGTGTATGTGTTTGTATGCTTGTGCTTCGGCACTGCGTATGGCTGGCTGCTGGTTTGTGGTTTTGAGATGGTGTGGTGCCGTGGGTGCGGTACAGGTGGTGTGGTGTCGTTGTTGTTGCTGTTGTCGTTGTGGTGTATGTAGTGGCTGCTAGTAGGCAGCAGGCCTGCCTCACTGCTCAGGTACAACAGCAACCCAGGGATGAGGATGGGCGGGCTGGCAAGAGGATGCAGATGGTGTTGGTGTTGGTGCGGGTGCAGTGTGTGTGGGTTCGTGGATGAGCTTCCGTTTCTTGTCTCTGCATCTGCCGCTGCAAGATTGGCCGAAAAGAGATGGCTGCAGTTGGATATGGGATTCAAGGTTCCTGGGCAGGTCGTTGTTGCTCGTCAGGGGCAAGCAATGTAAAATTAGGAAGAGCAGTTTGCCTCTTGAGCCTCTGGACGATGCGGATGCGAGAGGCACGATACGATGGGGTACGATAGGCTAGATACCATACCATACCATACCATGCCTTGCCTCACGACGCGATGCACCTGTACCTTACCTTCAGCATTGACCTCCAATTCATTTGCAATTCCCCTACTCATTATTGTTGCGATGTTCCGTCCACTTTCCCTTTCCTCTGAGCGGGCAGGTAGGGAAGCAAGTACCGATAGTGACAAAGGTACCCAACCCTCATCAATTGACTGCAACGCAAACCCCCAAATCCAGGCCCTCTTAGCCTCTCAAAGTCGCTCTCAGGTACGGGGCGGGGCGGATGCCACCAAGGCCCGGCACCTTATGGCCCCAAGGTTCTTCTCACCCACCTCAGGCAAGGTGGGCACTGAGAGAGGTACCTACTTTACCGAATGTTGACATTGACAAGCCTGCCTCAAGAGGCAAGGTACGAACAAGCGTAAGGCATCTTAAGGGGGGCAAGCCAATCTCCCACGAACCAGGGCAGTCGGCCGAATCAAGAAAGCGCGCGTCGCTCACTAGGACTGTGTGAACTGGTTCCCAATGAGCAATCAGAGAAATCAGAGCCAGAGCAAACCAAACGTGGGAAGGGGGAGATGGGTCAGCCATTTCGTGCTGGCGAAACCCTCAGCGCCGTCTCTAGCACCAGCTAAGTCCATGGCGGTTTCGTCTTGCTGAATGTACCGCGCTGGGTTATTTGTATGAGCAGATACTTCTGCCAAGCTGCTCCTTCCTGTCTCTATCCTCTGCGAGATAGGCTATCACTACTTTCCTTCCTTCCTGCCATTTGCCTCGGGTGCGGACCTGCTGCTCCTACTCGGACAGCTGCTCCTACCTGCCCATTCGTACTATGCAGTACAGAGTACCTGCCTTCGTACTTTCCTGCGTCAACACAGCCCAGATAACCGGATGACACTTCCTTCTTCAGACACAAGTTGCACTGCTGCCGGGAGATTATTCCATTTATTCAGTGATTTGAGTGATGACGCATCAACAAGAAACAAATCCGGACTCCGAACCTGCACCTTTCGCCATTTCGCAGCTCGTCAACCACGTGGGTGCCGCACTCCCAATCCACCACCCACGGCATCCACGGCCACGATGGGAACCCACTTGCCACTAATGCCCCCTCCAAGCATCGGAGTATCGCGTCGCACGGCCGATGGATTTATTTACCTCACTTCATAAGGGAAAAAACCACTTATTGTCTCTCCAGCAGTTCGGTACTTCTCGCCTTTCCACTCCAACCGCCATCTCCCGCTCATCAACAAAAGTCAAAACACTCGTACACTCTCGCTTCGACGGCGATGTCATCCGTCAGCTCAACGTCCCGGCCCTGGGAAAGTGCCTCCTCTTATGCAAGACCCTTCCCATGGAACATAACACAGACGAGATTGCACACGCCTGCTTCCGCTATGCGGCGGACTCGATATCTCGCCTTCTCTCCCGAAACATCGGCTCGTTCGAAACACATCAGACCGAATGACAACGCTTTTCACTCCCCTCGCTCTGCTCACCATCTTCCAGTCGTCACGTCAAATTCATAAAGGCTGTCTGTCGTCCATTGTACGGCGAATCGTACGCTACGAGCCGACGACATGGCCAAAACATCGGGCATCGTCTGCAGTCATTGGGCGTGGCACCATTTGTCACTTGAGGTTCTCATAACCCGAACCCTACCTTAGCTTTGCCTTCTCTCTGGTTGGAAAAATGGGGATTTTGGCCACGCATCTCACGATTTTGGCCTTGCCCTGCACTACCGTCTTTTAAGCCGGTGGGCGTCAACGACCAGATGCTGTGGGCCACTCTCGCACCCCAGATTCTTAACGCCACGACCCAAGGCCTTAATTAATCTTGGAACCAGGGACCTTCGGCTCATTCGCTCCAATCATTCCCCCGGCAGCTTGGCCAGCTCATGACAGTATTCCCGTTTTGGACACCAGAGTCCCACAGCTGCCAGCATCTAGCAACAGAAAACGAAGAGAAAACCCACGGTTGAATCCAGGGCTAGGGACAAAGAATGGTCCAAGCAGTCAACCGGGATGTCAACTGCCCGTCATGAGAGACATCGGTGGACACTTGGACTGGGTTCCATCCGAAACTAGGTTCCGGGCCTTTGCCGCACCAGATTTGCCCGTGAGAGAGCCTCCCTCACGACCGAGCTCAGTCGGCTCCGCTCTCCGTCACATTCGCTATGCTATTCACAGCGCCGCCGTACGACATGTCAATCCTCATCCCCGCAAAGACCACTCAACAGAGAACGTCTGCCCGTCGTTTGCCTCAGAACCACACGCTGCATCCACCATCGCCTGTCAACTTGTCTTGTGTTGAACAGATGGTTCGAACCCCGTCTGCCACGTCGCACGCCGTTGCACTCGTCCCGTCTGTCCCGGCTCTTCCTGTCCACCTGTTCAATAAGTCCCGTCCAGATTTGAGGTTCAGGAAACTTTTCTCCTCCCATAATGGCCGCGAACAGTTTAGCCTAGTCATGTGTCCTGCAGGAGGCAGCATCACTGCTGCAGGTACCAACACATCTATCACCACACATGCCCGCCTATCAAGGAGCCAGTCACGGTCAGCCATCTCAGGGCCACTTCAAAATCCATTTGTCTAGACTTCCCAGCATGGCGACAGGAAACTTGTCTTCTGGAATACCAAGAGGACCAATGTTCCATGTTGAGCTACAGCGAAGAAACCTCCTCAAACTCGCATTTTCATGGAAACAGCGTCTCACCACACGGGAAACGCCAGCTACAGAAGTGAACGTGCATGGGCCCTTTTCCCTTCTACGTACGCCTGCCTTTCCCCAGAAAGAAGATCGCTTGGCTGGATTGCACGGCATGCAACTTCAGTCGGCTGTTCGGCTGAGCACATTTGTTGTAGAGCTCTGTGCTGCGCAACTACCACCACGCTTGAATGCTTCGGCGCAGAGCAACGGGAAGGGCACTAACTGCCTGGCGTGGCTGGAAGCTGATGCCCGGTTAAGGCACCACAACATCCATAGAGTGCACTACGCTGTAAACCCCGACACGGATTATGGTTTCGATGTCCTTGGTTTGTTCTCCCGCACTATTACGAGCCCGTTGAGCAGGGAACAATTCGCTAGGTTCCCTATCAAGGCTGCGAAGGAACCTACGCTCTAGCATTTCGAGGCGTCTGTGTCATGTCATCCTTCACCCCAGCCCGAGCGCCTGGG